CAAACAACAATTTCAATTCAACTTTAGCCTGTAACCACACTCACAAATGTCACAATAGTTTTGTCAATGAAAAACAGTGAATAACATTGCATGACATCCATGGCAGCATTCGTACAGAGAATACTGTATTATCATCAACGGAAACACATTAAGCATCACACAAAAATGGATTCTTGATGATCAAGCATGTTAATTGTCACTATGTGATGATGTTCACTGCGGGCCTTGTATTTTGAGATGTGCGAGTGCACACCTAAAATGGTTTTGAGGAGTGCAATTTTTCAGTACACTTGAGCCTGGTAAAATTACACACAATTAGCTACAAAACGCACACCTACAACACACCTGAATTAATTTAAAAGTGCTTTTTGTACCACACCATGTATTTCCAAAATTCAAGGCCTCGGTCAGTCGCATTATGCTCACGACTAGGGTAAATGACCCATGGTTCGGACAGCGCCATGAATCGGACACCTGGGGATTTGAAATTGTTTTGCGTCATTAAAAGTATTGATAAAGCTTAGGCCTCAGACAGATAGATGCACTATTAGATGTGACATATGTGATCCAATTCCTATCATAAAATGTCATTTTTTAAGATAGAAAATCGGGATGCAGCCTCAAGTTTCAAAATAGAGTGATCCTTAAGAGCCCTGTTAAAAATAAGGATGTCAGAAAATGCAAAAAAAAAGAGGAATTAAATTTAGCCTGATATTTGGGATATAAAACTGGTATATTCTGTTCATCAACTTCAAATTATCTACAGCTGTATTGCCAATTCTCGCGTTTCACAATAAAGTGTGCCCTCGGCGGATAACCTGGAAAGACGCATTTCTCACTTCCGGTGTCGACATCGCAATAATGGCGCCACCAGCGGAGAACGTTGGCTGGTTCCCGCCTCAAGTGTCATGGTTCGCTGGTTCCCGGCGTCCTTTGCGAATGGCAGGTAGGACGCAGGTAACTAGTAATCGCCATATTGTTCCATTTGGGCCGGTTTTCAGGCCGGAAGGAACGCGACTGGGTGACGTAATTTGAAAACATTCCAAGTTCCGTTTTGCGTAAACGTGTCTGTAATGCTACAATAAAGCCATGCTCATACATACTACCTGCTTAGATTTACAGATTTGATATGTTCTGTGCAAATTTATAACAAAAGAAACAATTCTTTTTATTCGCCCAACTTTCGAAAGCAAAAGGAAACTCCTGAACGGCCACGAGCGTAAGCGCTGACGTCAGGTAACTAAGGGAAATGGAACAAGCAACG